TGTACAGAGTCGCATAGCGAGCCAAGGCAAGCAAGCAAACTAGGCACCTCGGCACACTTGGCACCATCCGAACAAAAGACGCATTTACGTGGGTTAACGGCGACGACATTACGTATCTGTCTTTGCACGCGATGCTAAGCTCGTGTGGCAGCGGCTAAATGTAAGCATCAATAGGAACTTTCACAATTACCATATTAATGTGGTCCGTTCCATGGACATGGTGTAAACGAACCAAGGCAAGAGCGAAGCGGAGGGGGGGGTAAGGGGGTGGAAATTGGCCGAGCGACACGCTACGGCTAACTCGGCGCCCTTGGCCCCTCAATTGCGCTCTCGTCCAGTGCGACTCGGGCGTTTAAGCATGAATTTAAGCGTTGCAAGCCACTAGGCTTGGCAAGAAAATTACAATTCGCACCGTGTGTGATGAGACAGACTGGCTAAGCAAACGGGTCCAAATTATTGGCGCCAGTACGACCGTTTGCGACTATTCGCGGCCCTGAGCTAACTGTCGATTGCCATGCTTTGTACATGTGTATACGGTGTTTTCCGCGATCGCTGCCATCTATTCAGCCTAAAGAAAGGGATTACATAGGAGCAGAATGGGGCATACATACAACACAATAGGTTGCTAGCCTCGTAGCACGTTATGGGACTCTCAGGTCTTGGCTATTGAACGCCTCGTTGCGGCTGGCTGGGGAGTCATTTCAACAACCAAGACACGGAGTACCCGAGTAGAATGTTTTTTTCATTTTAATCCAAATGGCTCATGTGGATTGGCTGAACGGAATTTTTATTCACCCGTGCGTCCAACGCGTCGCACTGTAGCACCGGTATGACGGCCAGGTTTGGGCCACTCATGGGCCAGTGCCAGGGCCAGGAAAGAAGAAAAGACAGATAAGGTGCACGGAACGACGTAAAGCTTGGCCACGCTTAAGATGCCGTCTGAACCGACTTGGCGGCTTGGCGTCTAGGGATCCCTGCTTACTACTGCAGCCTCCTGTGGATAACGTGTGGGGTGAGAACGAGGGCGTCTGGGAGTCAAAGAGCAGTTGCTACTCCGTTCGTTGGAGGGGGTGTGCGTGGAGCAGGCGCTGGATCATGGAAAGACTAGTAAAAGGTTTTATGGGGCGGACACAAGCTTTATTCCCGAAGCTTGTGTGGCGGCCGTCGTGATCGTCTGGAGTCGTCCTTTCGTGCGACGCGGCCTGTTTGCGGTTTATGCTTTGCTGTTTGTTCTGTCCGTTTGCCGTTGCATCTCTCATCCAACTCATCCAAGGTGGCGGAGCACGGTCTGTCAGTGCTTACCGACATGGTGTTCTCTGCGCGATTATTGACTGCGCAGTATTGTCCGGAGCACAGAGTAGCTGGCCTGCGAGTTTTGTCAGTTTTTATTTACTTTTCTCTTTTTTTGCCCCTTCGTGCGAAGTATATGTACTCCTACTCTTTTACGGCTTCCAGCTGGAATGGCCCAGATCCAAAATACCCCAGCACCCACCTGGTCAGCAACCAGCCCACTTTTCCGTTGGATTTGCGTTTTGGCACTGACGTTGGCCTTGCTTGTTCTTGTTGTTTATCTAGTTGCACCCACAACCGGCCGAGGGTGAAGGACAGGTTGGCTTTTTGACTTTGGATTCTGAAGCCGGCTGCTACCTGCCGTCTGCAGGCTGCACTGCCCCGAGTCACCTCGGTGGTTACGGGACTGTGGGCGCAGCGAGGACACGAGCGACGAGTACTCCGTACGTACCTTGGCACCGGATCGTCAGCAAGGGCGACGTCGTCGATCACACACGCCGAAAGAAAGAAAGAAACCCACCGTGATGAAGAGCTCAAAAGAGAATGGTCCGAGCCAACCGTTGCCGATTCATCCGTTGTGGACGGCTCGTGGCCAATAGCCTCAGCCCCGGTCATCCCCAGATTGGCCATGCTCAGCATGTCTCCCTAAAACATGTCGAGGGAGCTAGCTGCTGCACCCCAAGCAATCCCAAGAAAACCTTGATGACCAGCGCCACATGTGAGTCCAGAACCAAAAGGGGTGGTCCTTGTTGCTCCCGTGGTGCTCCATGAGCTTAGATGGCGCAGGACCCTTGTGGCCTCACACCTGGGAGATATGCTTATTGTGACTCTTAAAAGTACGAAGACACACACAGGCAAGCTTAACATGGGCTCATGCACTCGATAAGCCTCGTCGCCGTGTCTTGCTTGTGCTTGGGAACCCACCGGTGCTGCTATGTACAGAGAGCCACAGAGCATGGCCCTCGTTCACCGGCCACACCGTCCATGGAGATGCTATTTTCCATGTCGATCCATGGCCCGGAGCTTGTTTCACCACCTTTGTTTGATACGCCAGCCTGCTCGACCGGCGGCACACCGACAAGGCACTTGTCATTTTACAGACAATAGCTCGGCGCATACTACAAGAGTCTCACGGCCAAAACATTCTTGTCCGGCATCTCCAGTCAAAGTGACACACAGTACTAGTATAGTAGGACTAGGTTGATTGCAGACAACGACCAATAAGTGAAACATGCAGGCTGCACAAAGCCAATTGCCGAACACTACACAAACATGCATGGATGCATGTGTCAAATGAATCCATTACAAATCCCAGCACAAAGACGAACCAAAAAAGCCGACATTTGTCTCTCTCGCCGTCAATGGGCACGGCCGTGCTCAAAGTTGGTGCCGTCGTAGGATGGTTGGTTGGGTGGTATTTCTCGTGTAAAGGGCCAGGCACTTTGCGAAACTAGAAAGCAGCCTGGAACTGTAACCATTCTGGCACCAAGCTGCACTCTAGAGTTTCGAAGTGACGTGTTTTATCCGGGCAGTTTGCCCAAAACGGCAGCGGCTCAGGCATTGCGTTTGATTCTCGAATGAAGCACCCTAGACTCTAATTTCATCGACATAGTCGGAACCTACGGGCTGATAACTAAACCTTATCACGACAGCAACTTTGGCATATCTCAGTTGTGAGTGATCGGCAAAACCTTGCCGATCCGAGAGCTGTACTTGGGGTAAATCTCATGATTCACAGGAGCGGCGTCACAGCCATGGCTTGTATGGCTCAAGCGACTGAGTTCCTTAGGAACCGCGTGGTTCAATACCAAGCACCCTCCTGGAATAGACTTGAATAAGAAGAATACAAGCAACCCGAGGCGTTTCATTTAATGTCGTTGTTTTGGTTGAGTCACACAACTGGACACCGGACAAAGCCACAAGCCGAGGCTCCCGGGTATGCAGCCCAATATACTCCGAAGAGACGCGGTGTGCAAAGGAGAGGAGGGAGAGGCTTGACCTGACACCAGTGTCAAGTGGGAAAGGGAAAATATCGGCTCCGGTTTCGATGCTGATTTATTTATAGACGGATGTTTCTTGGGTGGGATTGGGTTATTTGTTTATCAACTTTTGTGAATATCACAGCAGGAAGTAAAAAAAAAAGAAAAATAAAAAAAAAAGGGGGGAGGGCAGTCGCAGAATCTACATGGCCAAAACAGAAAATCCACCAATACATGGCTACAATAGCAACCGATAACACAAGCCAGAGTATCTCAGTCCGGAACACCAAAGTTCTACCAGACGCGGGAGGTTGCATATCACGAAGGCGACCGTCTCCCTCTACTCCGTACCCAACACTCGGCCGCCCGTCAAGACAGCGACTGCATGTTTCGTTTTTCTCATTTCTTCTCCTCGGTCCGCAGCGAGTGGCCAGAGCAAGACAAACCCGACGAGGACGGGTAAAACCGAAAATGGCAACCGACAACGGAGGCAGCGCTCCGGTATGGAACTGAACTGCTGGTCTCGCCGCAGAGTTATTGTTCCATCACAGGGGGCCCATTACCCATTACCCATTACCCATAGGCTCGCCAACCTTAGAAAGCCTTTTGACAAGGCGGATGTGTCGGCACGCCAGTTCCGTGCGGTTTGGGCTGCATGCAATCGGCTTCGACACCCTCCCCGGCTGGGGATGCATGGACATCTGGAGTGACTCGCAAAAGACGGGCCTTATCTACAGTACGCTTCCAACTCTGGCGGAGACACTTTGTGCGCCGGTACTTTGTGGAGTTATGTGCCGTGAGTTCTCTGCTACCGTTACACATTGTCGAGGGTCGAGGCTGGTTTAGACCTACACCTCTTCTGGTTCTACTATATGTTGATGAACATGACGAAATGGGAACCAGAAAACTGCTGATGAAGCGGCTATATCGTGCCGACCGGCGTCCCTGCCTTCTCCGATATTGCCTCTCTGCATGGAGTATTCGCAGATCTATCCATATCAGTCTGAACTCCCACACCACAGCGATCCCCCCCGACTGACGACCTACCTACCTAGGCAGTCTAGTCTGGCCATTTCGCTCTTGAGCTTTCTGTTTGGGAACTTCCATGAGAGACATGTGCCCCATCATGTCGTCGACGGCGTCGATGGATGCTCGTCTATACGGGGTGTTGATGAAACACGCTGCAAGATTAACTTTGCGGCTTGCATCTATTTTCAGTTCTTATCTTATGGTTGTTGATTGAGCTTGATGTCGGTTCATGGTGGTACCGTGCTCGAAAATGTATCATAGGCTGTTGGCCCCGAGGTGGCCCGGGTGAGCCATCTCCGCGGACGGCAAGCCACGTCATAACTTGACCGTTGACGGTTTGAATGATGGTTGGCAGCGGCGGTGGCGGCTGTTAATTTAAGCTTAGGATACTTGGGTGCTGGCGGATGACATGGCCGTAGTTGTGGTTGCTATGAGCTCCTGGATGGTGGAATAGGGACGACTTTTACGACCGACGACCAATATTCATGATAAGGGGAGCATGAAAGGACTAATCTGAGGCTACCATACATGACAGTCGCGGAATAGATTATAGACACACTTTTACGAATCTTCAAGTAAATGGCTCGAGGATCATGTCAGTTGCCACAAATATACCGAGCCGCCAGTCTCAGAGGATTTTGCCGGGTAGAGCAAGTCAAATATTTTCAACACCAAGCCTCTCAAACCCGACGTAAGCAGCATTTAATGAGCAGAATCAACAGCTTCCCACGCCGGCGTTAACTCAACCCCGATCCTCGCAAACTCCTCCCCAAACTGCAACAAGTCCCTCCACCTCGCCGGAATAGCCTCAACGCCATCCCTGGCTCCCAACAAGCCGCCGGCCACCGCAGCATTCGTGTCAGTATCCCTCCCGATCCTCACCACATCAACCAGCACGTCCTCCAAGCTCCTCTTGTCCAAAACAGCGGCAACCGCCACCGCCAACGTCTCCAGCACATACCCGCTACAGCAGCCCTTCATCTCCGCCGCGTCAGGGCCATGCCTCGCCATCCGCTCGACGCTCAGCCTCCTGCCCAGCTCGACGGCCTGCGAGACGAGCCCGTGCCCGCCCTGCAGCCTCTCCGCCAGAACTAGCCCGGCCTCGACGGCGCTCCCCGGCGCCGTGCCCCGTATCAGCGCCGCCACGATGCGATTGTACACGGCGCACGAGAGCGTGCACCTCTCGTCGTCGTGCGTGATGCTGCTGATCCGCACGCTCTCCCTCACCAGCCTATCCGGGTCGCGCTGGAACAGCCCCGTGGGCAAGCACCGCATCAGACTGCCGTTGCCGGCGCTCCCCCTCCCCGCGCCGCTGCGGTCGGGATCCCGCGTCGAGGAGAACCTGTCCAGCCCTGCCATGGTCGCGGCTCCCATGTCCGCCGGCCGCGAGCCGGGCTTCCTGCCTGGCCAGTTGCCCGTGTACCAGTCTAGGAAGTTGTTTCCCGCCAGCACGGCGACGTCCTGGCCCGGCCTGCCGCGGGCGGCGCGGTATGCGAGCACCACGCCGCGCGTCATGTCTGTGTCGTCGGTGGCGTGGCCGGCGGGCCAGGAGAAGGGCCCGCCGCCGATGATGTCGCGAAGGCCGTGGGGGTAGCGGGTGCGTATTTGGGCGTGGGATTCGAACTCGACGCTGGCGCCGAGGGAGTCGCCTGCGTGGAGGGCGAGGAGAGCGCCTACTACTTTGGATTGGCGTCCTGTGAGGGCCAGCGCGGCCTGGACGGGCATCGCCATGTGGTCCTTGGAGCGTCTTGTATGTCTGTTTGTGTCTTTTGATGGGTGGTTGTTCAGGAGGGAATGGAGACGGGGCGAGGTGGAAGGCGACGAGGTATACCGAGTTGAGGTGGTTGCCTGCTGGGCATTGCGGCTGAGCGATGGTGGGATGACATGATTCTGTGAGCCTCTGAGACGAAAAGTACAAGATTTTGACTGTTTATTCTCAGCGTGTCTTGAAGGCTGGGGATGGACTCGGTGCCGTTGGGAATCAATCGGTGCGAGTCTGACGGGGCCACGAATAAGAATTGTGTAAAGGTGCTTCTTGGAGTTATCGAGATGAAGCCGCGGTTACGCTTCCAAAGCCCTCGCAACGGATTGACGCACACGCGGTGCAGAGGCGCCTTCAAAGTTGAAGTTTTGTAGAAAGATTTATGGGTTCAGTGTTTTTCTTTTTTCCTTTTTTTTTAGAAGGGTACCTTCTTGTTGGGGATGAAATATGTAGTTGAATTACGTTGGATCACTTACCATGTGAGCGAGCATGTCCAAATGCAACAGGCATTGAATATGAGTTGACAGAATATATTCAATTATTTCCTTGTAACATATCCCTGTAGTACTTGACATTCTCTATACCAAGAGTATTGTGCAGTAATCCTAGTATGAACCTGAAGCAACCGCGTAATCTCCCATCTAGATTTGCAGCATCAAGCTCCTTCTCCATCTTGTATCTGCGACAAAGCCACTTTTTGGCCAGATTATTATTCCCCGTCAAGTCTGTCCAGGGTTGAGATACACTTAATGTTATCCATATTAACGTTGAGTCGGAGTGAGTCTATGCGTGTTCATCTAGTATACAGATATGCGTTTATGCCAGTATCAGAGAACAGACCCCTACCGTTGACGACGATATTCCAAGCAGATCTAAACAACAATACCGACTAGTCCCACGTCTATTTTGTTACAGTTGGTAAATTCTGTTATTGTACATTCCGAAAAGTAAAAAGTCATAATATGAAGGCACCTCCGAAGCTCGTTCTGCGGCTCAACAGCAATAACCGAGATTGGCACTTCGCTTCGACATCTGAGCCGACTCCCTGCCTTCGGAACAGATGTCTGCAGACCTGTGTGACCGGCGGATGGACTATCATGCTATCAAAAGTCATGCCACTAGTCCCGTCTGTCGTCTGTCGTGTCACCGCACTAACATCTGCTCGCCTCGTGCTGTAGCCGCGTCACAAACAAGGCATGGTAATACACGTTGTTAAGCTTAGTGAGTCGTTCCCGTGAGAATGACCTCGTTGCCGAACCGCATCACGGCACAATTGACGCGAAACCGGGAATCGGCCGAGACTCTCGGCCCTTATACCTCGCCTGGCAAAGGTTGCCAGTGGTATTTTCGCCGGTAATCTGAGCATATCAAACCTCTGTCCTAGCAATCGCATCGCTGGTAATGGCGTGGAAATGGGACCACGTCCCGAACATTCGCCACACCTGTCAAATAGCTGAGCAAGCGATCAAAGCCTAGGCCAAATCCCCCATGTGGAGGACATCCCCAGCGTCTCAGGTCCAGATACCAGCCCAGGCCGCTGCTCCTGTCCTGCCTCTTGCCAGGCACCTCTAATCCGTGTAACTTCATATTATCCTCAAGCTCGGATAAGCGATGCTCGCGCATTGAACCTCCAGCCAGCTCTCCAAGACTCGGCACTAGCAGATCGAAGCACTCGACCGTTTCGCCTTGTGGTGGGGACGATGCTGAGCGAAGCATGTAAAAGGCCTTGATCTCGCGGGGATACTGGGTGATAAAGACTGGGAGATAAGCATTGTTTGTCTTGTCAAACCCTATCTCCTTGGCTAGATATTTCTCATGCTCGGATTGAAGGCCACTGCCCCATATGGGTTTGTGCTCGAACTGGTTGGCAACAGGTTGTAGCCGCTCAATGGCTTCGGTGTAAGTTATTCTGGGCCACTGACTCGGAGAGAGCAAGCCCGTCCACCGACGGTCGAGTTCTTCTTGCTCAACCAAGTCTGCAAAGGCAAGCCGTTCGGCGGGGTCTCGAGAGTCTAGTCTATTCTGCACGAGTTCATTTGCAGCCCGCAATCCTTTTAAGCCTTGCGCAAGATTCTTCAGCATACTCTGAACGAGATCCATAACCTCATTCATATCGTTAACAAAGCTCATCTCGGCTTCGAGCATGTAAAACTCGCTCAAGTGACGGGATGTGTCACTTTGTTCAGCTCTAAATGTGGGAGAGAGGGTCCACACGTCCCCAAGAGACTGTGCCAGGGCCTCAAGGTGAAGTTGAGTTGAGACGGTTAGATATTTGGGATCTCTGAAGAATTCCGCCTTTGAGCCAGTCTTGACGGTGAATGCTTCACCAGCGCCTTCGCAGTCAGAAGAGGTGATGATTGGAGGATGCGTCTGCTGAAACTTTTGGTTAAAAAAGAATTGAGTGAGAATGAAAGTAGCATCAGATCTTAGACGGAGGAGCGTGGAATTGAGTGGTGTCCGAGACCGTAGATGCGAAATGTAGCGCAAGCTCTCTGGGGTCTGATACTTGTTCTGGATTGGATAAGTCTTGGCAGACGCAATGTTAGCGTGCCACTTGATGGCGATCAGTATCAGCTGGAATCGACTCACTTGCGGATCAGAAACGCCGAGGACTTTGACTTCGTCAACTTGGAGCTCTTGAATCGTTGGGGGTCTCCCAGCGCCTTGCTCCATTCCATCCGCTCCGGATACAGACTGAGTATGTTGAGAGGAGATATCTGAGACAGAAGATCCTTCTGTGCTGGGTTGCTTCATATCAGCTGCATTGTGCCACCGTCCCTGCAGACAAACAGCAGAACCAGGTCGTATGCTTTATCCAGGTTAGCATAGCAGACTGTGCAGAAGGATAGTTGTAGAGCAACTTACTCTGCTGCCAATGCCTTATCGACAACAACTTGGACCGGACGCATAGAGGATCCATCTGTAATGTCGACAAAACGAGCCCCTGAGCTCTTACGGACAGAGCGTACCCATCCGCACAGTTGGACATCCGGAACATTGGTTTCGGGATGCCAGGCCCTAAGATCTGCCACCGTTTTGATGAGCGGTTGGGACTCGCCAATAACCCTTGCGGAGTAACATCTCTGCCTGGAGCGCGAAATCTGTATGGTGTGGCGATGGCTCGCGAATCTTGGCAAGAGAGTCGACCTCATGACGCTGGCCTGGCACCAAGCAAGGTTGCCCAAATTTGCGCGGACGGCCTCGGGTTGAGTTGCCGAATGGTGTCAATTACTCTCGTACACGCCACTCCAGATGGCTCTGGTCTATTGCTAGCCCTGAGTCACAAAGCGAAGGAGTGATAAAAGACATCAGGCAGCTCGGGGATGAGCCCAGGTTGTGAGAATCGACATGACTTTTGCGGACGGCAAGTCGATGTCCCTGGATGTGATGCGATCGGGTGGGTCAGAGCTGCAAGCGAAGGACCAACGCCAGGCACCGGGAGCAGGGCCGGAGACAGAGCCGGGACATATCCGGCCAGCGTCAAAGGGCCTGGTACATCATATCGCACATCAAGGTGCACGGTCGTGTCGCGTACCTGGCGACGCTGCAACTTGGTAATAACTCGCTCGCACCTTCCCGTCATTGCGGTACGGGAGCTGCCACATCGCACCTGGACCGGGCATGTGTGGTTTTTGGTGTGATATGGAAAGAGCCTTGGGCCCTTGGCCACGCGACCCGTTCTTCTACACTGCCATTACAGTGCCACTACACGCCTAACACGCTACCATGCGTCTACTCTAAAGTCCCGCCATGGTCCCTTCATGGTCCCTCCATCGTCCCAGATGTCGTTCCCCATGCACTCGATGCCTACCGTACCTAGGTTACTTAGAGGTATGTACTCCGTAAGTAGGTAGTACGGTAGTACGCCCTTTGGCACTGGCTTATCTTCGCTTGCCCTATCCCAGAACCAGATTGGACCTTCCACGACCAGCAATAAAGCGTCAATCGAGAAGGTGGGAAGCCAGAGACGCGTCCACGTTCATCCATTCGTCTCCGTGCGCTGTACAAGATTGGGCAGCACCATTTCGACTCGAGCATCATCCCGTCGGGGCTCGTGGATCAACCTAATTTCTACCTCCCCCGCTTGTTTCACTGCTCACGAACACACAATCACCGCATTGGCCTGCTGAGCATGCTCCAACGGTCTTGAGGGGTCTTGGATGCGACTTCATCACATCCAGGTGCCGCCGAACGTCTCCTTACTGGCCTCTCTCATGTGTCTCTACCATGGCGAGTCGTGGTATTGGATACTCGATCTCGACCAACGCCCAACGCCCAGCTCTCAGCTCTCAGCTCTCAGTCCTGAACGGTGCTTGTCATTGCCACCATGGCGAAGCTCCGGTCCTTATAATAGAGTACCGAGGAAAAGTACTCCGTACAGAGTGCCGAGTACATTTTGGCAACCTGCTCGCAAGTCTTCCTGCGGCTGTGCCCTAATTTTGTCGTTTATCTTCCTTTGTGTCTTAATATGTCTCAGATCATTTCTCAACTGGGCTTACCACACGCCTGGCCCGCCGGTTGTCTTCGTGCCACAGCCTACGGAGTAGTCCCTTGGATATCGGCAATTAACAAATGCCAGCATGGAAGTCAAATAGTTCTCCCGAGTCTCCATATCTCCACACAAGTGTGGCTGCCAGATCCATGATAGTATTTTGTTGGACAAAGGCGAGATGAGGTGTCACAGATCGGACTGCTAACCAAGTGGCCGCTTTGCCGCGTAGCAATCATCCGGCTGAGCCCTCACTTCTGGCCTTGTCTTGCTACCAGGGTCTTATTCTCGGCTACCCTTGATGTGCCTGCCACCCACATCATCGATGTGGCCCTTGGGACTCAGCAATGCAGAGGCGAGGGGACGCCATCTCCGTGGGACTCTTATGTCTGAGATGTCTGCAGCTGTTTGGGCCCTGGGGTCCTTACCGCTGCAATGTATCAAGCGGAATCGCACCTACGACAGACGCAGTAAACAGCAATGCCGCCGCGACGTATTGTTCCGTGCTGTGAATGCAACCCCATGGGTCTTCAGCCTACCGGGACTTTGGTACCCTCGGGCTCGTGGTATTGCCAGCACTTTATGTCTTGCTGGCAAGACACCGTCTCCCCACCGTAGAATTAGGCAAGTCGAGCGACGCGGGTAAAACGGGCTGGGACCAGCTCTCGCTCTTTGTTGTCTACCGTCCAACTTCGTCTCGTCCTTCGTTTCTTGGCCAAGGTCATGTCTTCCATTCCTCGCCTCTAGATGAAGGTGTTCCAAGCAAGTGATTCAGATCTTTCATTTATAGGGTCACACGAATTTGTCGAGCTACGCTCACGCTTATCGACCTCTCCTGAGCCCTATATGACAATCCCTCAGAATAGCTTGGTCATTACGCCTTCATTGAGGTCCCGCCAAACAAGACGGCACTTGGAGCATATAAAGTCCGGCTTTTCGGCTTCACTCGTCCATGTATCAACTCACCACGAGTTCACATATGTGCACAGCTGAACATTGTCTCTCTGGCACCAATACATATTTGTCAATCTCAACTAAATACCAGCTCTCGTTATGGCTCCGGGAGCAAAATCCAGCCGGGTAAAGCCGTCTGAGGTGGCAGCTGACACCAAGAGGAACTTCATCCCAATGGTAAATGCCAACTACGCCGAGATGTTTCCTCCGTACTCGATTTTGTACCGGCAGCCCGCCGAGCTCGCCATTATACGCCGGAATCTCAGCACCAACCCTCCTGTTTTCCGCATAGAAGCTGGAGACCCAGTTATGATTGCCATTAACCATGCCGCGGCTGACAGTCAGACCACTGAGGGCTCTAGAGTCAGAATTCCTTTTATCTGCGCTGCCAACGAACGCCGCCCCGGAGGGGATTGGGAAACGGGATGCTCTGGGTACGAAGAGAAGCTTTGCCGTCGAAGCAACCTTTCTGCAACGCTGAGCAGTCCTTGGCCAAACACACAAGTACCATCAAATTATCCTATTCCGTCCACTGGGGGTATTCTTTCTGATGCTGTTGTCGTTTATCGAGGACCCCATGATCATTACGAGAGACTTGGGCGCTTGTATGACTTGCCTGTTGTATCTGTCCCACCGACTCGATGGCCGAAGTTGAAAGAGAACGGGACTATGTACTCGTTTGCAGAAGAACGAGACATGATGAGAGAAAAGATTCGCGGCGCTCTTCGCGTCTGCCTTTACAACAACTATGATCGAGTTGTCGTGGGGGATTTTGGCCTGGGTAATAGCTGTCGGAATCCACCCCAGGAAGTTGCCGAGCTCTGGCGGGATGTATTGCTCTTCGACCCAGACCTTCGGGGACAATTCAAATACGTTGTCTTTGCTTTTGAGGACCCTTCACAAAGTACTACACGCTTCATTTGGGACGAGATGGCAAGAAAGGACAAAAAGGGGGGGAGCAGCAAGCTCAAGTCGCGTGGCAACGCCCCGGCCCCTGCTGGATTCTCGCAAGGATCTTCTACAAATTTGGCAACAGATATGGCTATTTTCCAAATGGCCTTTGGCCACGCGGAGATTGTGCGTGTTCTCTCCGCTAGAGATCCACGCTATGGCCTAGACATGATTACAAGTTGAAGAATTGGAGTCTTTAAATGGGGATTATGCACACCGAAGAGCACTACAGCAGGTGGGACTATCCTCAATACACCTGATATCGAACGGTGGCCATGCTCAACCACAGCTTGTTGTTTGAACTCTGTAATAGTCTTCGGTTCTCAATGACATCTCTCTCCTTCTGCCCTTCTTTCTTGTTCTCCCCTTTTCGTCACCCTTGGCTGTTGCAACACTGGGCATGTTTCTCAAACTTTTGCCTCTGGCGACTAACGTCTAGGCGAGTCCAGCATGTTTGATATAAATGTCGGTAATTTGATTAACAAAGACAAAAACAAAAACAAGCGGGGTCACCACCGGCATACTCAGTCAAGACTGTTTAGTCGTGAATCGTTGACTTTGCATGTGTCGCAATAGTGTTAATTGTCGTCGACCCCTCCGCGGCTTGAGGCTTCGTTGCACGTATGCAGCTTCAAGAGCATATCTTTCCTGTCGGGTCATTCGTTCTTGTTTCTTCTCTATTTTCTCATTACAACGTCAGTGGACGGCATCTGTGCACTAGATGATGGCTGGTTTCTCCTTCGGGTCGTGCTGGTGACGAAACAAGCCCTTGTTCTGTCCTGCATGCAGCCCTTACAGTACAAGAGTACGATTGGCTGCTTGACCAAGTTGACGATGAAATCAGTTGGTTCTTTTTTCCCCCGGTCAACTGGAACACACATTTGACACATAAGGGGTGGTGGGTCATGTCACTCTGGATGTGAAGTTGAAATCGTCATTGCAGACCAAAGCCCTTGGCCAGGCTGACCAGACATGACATCAAGCCGTCGAGATTATCAAATAGACATAATTCAAACATGCACACACCCCACAAAAACGCGCCCCGGCACATTTCTGCAAATACATAGGCCGGTTGACCACATCTCACTCGACTCTTGCTTCTGACTTCTGACACCTTATAACTGCACTGTGATTCGATTGCCACAGGGCCATGACTGGAAGCTAGTGTCAGAAACGCCCGCCATTGCCGTTGATGTTGGTCCATTTCAGTCATGAGTCCTGAGACATTATACCACCCCTTTCGCGTTCGACTCCCTGCCTTGCAACTAGTCCTCCATCACACACCCTCTGCTGCGCCATGCCCATGCCCACGTCCACGTCCACGTCCACGTCCATGTCCATTGCCACTGGTTCGTGTCTTTGTCAGATTTCACCCTGGACGTGTCCTGCCCCGGGAGGGAATGCTCCAAGGAAGAACCAGGCCGGCCAAGCCATTCCGAGGCGAGCGAGTCGATGAGCATGTAAGGCAGCCTGCTAGTATATCACACCATTAGTCCCCCGTGACATGTCATGCGTTGATGCTAACTCGAGGTGGTTGTTGTGAAGTCGTCCACCTCAAGGCTCAAGCTGAGCGAACAACACGTCCAACCCAATGTGACGGTTGCAAAGACCGAAACACTGTTTTGTGACGATGTTTTTTTTTTTTTTTTCCTTTTTTCTCTTCTCTGCCCGTCGGCTGTGTGCCGTTGCTTGTCCGAAAAATCCAGACGTTTGTCCCTCTCCAGTAATCAAACTCGTCACTTGGCAATTCCATGTCTCGACTATGCGGCGTACATCTGATTCATTGCTCGATCTTGTAGCGCCGTGCTCAACGCACCTGCGTACATACTACTCCCGTACTTACTAGTAGTATTACTATACGCGCCTGCGGTCCGATGCTGCGGCTGCAGCGCCGAGACAAGCATACGCATATAACATGTATGTCCCTTGTGCTCATCTCACAGCTGCACACAATCTGCTCCAGCAAGCCGGTCTTTGCTGCCGGCGGCCCAAAGGTCGCCTGCCCTGTGCTGCTTGCTGGTCACGCGAACGCCATGCAGTCGAGAGGAAAGAAGGGCTTTCCAATACCCCGAACAGGAAGGCCGTCATACAATATAGTATACGTACAGACCGAGGCGGACGCTGTCTTGATCAAGAATCTTCATCGAGGGGGTACTTGAATATTTCCAAGCATAGCCGGAACAAAGAAGCTGCAAAATTAGCATTAAAAAAGGCCCATGGCCAGGTGGTATCCTACGGCAAGTGCCAAAGGAGTTTCAGAATGTGCATGTCCATTTGGCCAAACATCACGTCTTTACCTCGTACGGCTGGTCTTGTCCTGTCATGGTGTTGCATGTGAAAATGTATAAACTGCCTACCCAAAACATTTCACTCATGATGCGGTAGCTCCCTATTATGCTCTGCGCCTTTTCAGCTTCTCAAAATTAAGCCACACCTGCGAGTCCTCCGTTTTGTTCCCATTTTACCCTCTTCTTTTCTTTTTGGGACCCCTCTCCATTCATGCCTGTATACGTTACACAACCGCTTACGCTCCCCCCGCTCGGTTTTGTTTCATCACCATTCTTCTCCTACCACATTGTCGGTCTGAGTCCGGTAAAGTTGGACAGGGTATTTAAATCAGTCTCGCTTTCTTTCTTACGTTGACCGCTCAGCTGGCAGCGTGGCATAGTTAGTATGCTGTTGTTTTACATCTGAAAATGGGGGGTCTGAGAGTGCAGAGAATAACGTACCTCGAGTTGCACTCCCCTGTGCACGTGGACCAACCAGTCCACGTAATTTTGTGCCTCATTGTTGCGGTCCTCTACCAGCATGCGAGCAAATTCAAACTCGGCGCCGTCAATGCCTTGTCGAGCGAGCTGGATTGTTAGGCCTTTGGACCCGCGCATCGTCTTGAGAAATTCGATAATGTTGCGGACTTGTGCATTCAGGTGAGTGTCCAGGACGGGTAGTGATGATGTATATGCATCAAGGCTCTTCAGAGAGTCCTTGTCTTCGCCAAACAGGTCGGCAACCAGGTTCGGTGATGTCTGAGAGTGGAACCAGAGGAGGCATTGCTGACCGTTGTCGACGATATACACACCGCCGGCTTCGACGCACGAAAATGACGCTCGTATTGAAGGGGGCATTTTCAAGTGGCCCGTCTCTGGGTCAGCAAAACCATCCTCGGGTTGTAAGTTGTGAAGAGGGATCATGCGAGGGTAGAGATACAAGCTAAGTTCCAAGGCGCCCATGGAACGAACCATGCGCATTTCATGGACCCTCCTGTCTGAATTCTCAATGCCGCCCTTGAAGGCCCTGCATTTTGTCAGTCCGAGCATATACATGCAGAACTCCTTTAACCTTTCCGGCATAACCAGCTGGCCTGCGGGATGTTGTTGTGCCGAGTGTTTCCTATAGCAGGACAAAACATCAATGGTCCGCTCGGAAAGCCAGTTTCGAATGTCTTTCAGGTTACTTGAAGTAGTCGCGAGTTTTGTGCCTGCTTCCTTGGCCAACAGCGCAATTACTGCATCCTGATCAACAAACTTCATGCATGCTCGGATGCCTTGTTCTCGCATGCCGGCTTCCTTGGACGTTTCGCTCACGCTAGCAATGATGTTGGAGCAGCGAACTCTGCGCTGGCCTGAGGCAGTCGTGTACAGTAGGGCGGACTGGAAATGGGCGTCCAGCTTTGAGTCCAGCTTGCCGTCATGACTGAATGAAACTGCCAAGGCCTTGTCCGAATCAATAACACCAATTTCCAAATCGGCCCCAAAAGTATGTTGCACAAAGTTGCCGTGATATGCCGACACCTGCAGACCATTGGAGCATCGAACCTTCATCAGCGCTTGGAAACCAGTTTCTCTTGTCACAGTGTGGCTGATTTCGGCAGACAGCTTGGGACCGTCGCGTGGAGCGATGAAGTTGGGATAGTAGAATGTCTCTCCACCGGTAGTAGCCGCAACATGGCCTACAAAATAAGTTAGCGTGTTATTCAACTCCAAAGTCAATCTCAATTGAAAGCGTACCAATAGTAGCAATGTCGAGATAGCCGCCAGAAGGAGCAGCGAGGAAAAAGTCTGCGCCGATGCCAGAAGCTGCCATCTTCTCTGCCACCTTCTTCCAAGCAGGGTGCTCAGTCGTGTAGAGCTTTTTATCCAGTTCTCCTCCAGGATGATTGCCGTCGTCACGCATGAACAGCCTGCCAGGACCCCAGGTGGGCAGAGCAGAACATGAGCAAACGATTTTACCACCAGTCTTCTCAAGTGCTGCCAGAGCTCCATTCAGTGTAGCAAGCAGTGCAGGTTCCGGATTCTTCACGTCGGAGAACATTTCGGGCAGCCGTGTCAACAGAGAAGTGATGATTGACTTGGATTCGTAAGGATCAACGAATAGGCCCTCGCCAATAGGAAGAAACGGGTCCTCGAGATCAGGCATGATGAGCATTTGAGGTTGATCCAGACCAGGCTAAGGCGACATTAGCAACTCTTTGGCCAGCTCAAGGCAGAAAATAGTAACACAAAGACTTACATGCATGTTGTAGAAGTGAATATCTTTGTCATAAGTGACAAATCCAACCTTCGCACCTTCAGGGACCCGTCTCTTTGGCTCGCCATTCTCATCCTTTTCCTGGTTCTCCCCTCCGTAGAGGGCAGCCAAGATGCCATCACAGAAGGTCTCCAAGAAGCCCTTGTTGAATGATTCTTGTGTTACATCGATGAGGAATAGCCAACGCAAGCCAACAGGTTCTCTGGTCCAATACTCCTTGGGCACGACAAACTCGACGGTGCCTCGGTGCAACTCAGGTCGCTGGTCTCGGTCCACACGAACACCTTGCGGGCTGGTGGCGCAGAAGTATTCGGGGGGCGTATCGTTGGGGTGCGTACACAAGTTACATACAAACTTGTTGCCGCCGGATCGGAACATCATGAAGGGGTTGATATAGGCGCGGCATCGGCGGCATCGTGGAGGGCCGGCATCGCCAAAATCGAGAACAGGAATCTCTGCCTCACCTGCCTGGAGGGGGGCCAGGGGCTGCAGGAGGAGGCCAAGAGGGAGGCCAGTGGCGTGCAGGCCGTCCGAGGTGGCAGGGATATTGTTCAGACTCAACCGAGCGTATTTTGGAGAGGCATTTCCCTGGTCGAAAGCTACAAAGGAGACAGTCGCGGGGGGCGGTACATGGCGTTCAAAGGTAGGATAGACGTTCTTTAGGAAATATGGTTGAACGGAGTCGCGAGACACGGGGACACTGGGCATGTCCTCGAGAGAGACCTTGGAGGGGCCAGAGGTCGAGATGGTGGCAGCAGCATCAGCACTTCCATTACCATGGCCGAAATGTCCTGGAGTTGGGAATTCGCCAGCGTTCATCATGTGAGGCGTGCCCTGAGGGCCGGCAAACTGAGCTGAAGCTCCGAAGGCTGGAGCACCTGGTGTTCCTGGAGCAGCAGTAGGGATGAATTGATTCGGGTTGGAGCCAGGGGGCCCCATGCCATTGTATGCCTGAGAAGAGCCCGTCGGTTCGACTGTGTGGTAGGCGTGGCGGTCCTTCTTCTTCTTGCGGATCGTGGTCTGTCCGTCACCCAAGCTCATGGCTCCCATCTGCGAGGCCAGGCCGGCATCAGCTCCAGGCTGTGCGACGCTTCCCTGGAAACCTTGCAAAGCTCGGTCATCTTGACCGTGGGGAGTTCCGTAGACAGCACCTGCTGGCGGAGGCCCTCCCACAGCAGGCGGTGGTGATTGTTGTGGTTGAGCAGCATATGGGCCAGGAGCTCCGTATCCGTAACTGGGAGGCTGTTGCTGATAGGGTGGTTGACCAAGACCAGCGGTACGGTTGGGATCATTGGGGTCGGCGATGCCCTGGCCCAAAGCGTGGTATTGCGTATAGTCGGCCATGGTGAGATACGGCGTATCGCGCGTGAAAGAGGACGGCGGCTCAGGCAAGCCTCTGCCGAGGGAAAGGAGGTAGTGAATGGTGGTCGTGAGTGGATTTGAAGATGGACTGACCTCGAGTGGCGCTGGATTGGACTTGGCAGGGTGTTTTGGCTGACGAGGAGGGGGCACCTGGGGCCCTGGGGCGAGTGCCGCGGTGTATGAGTGACCTGACCAGGCACCCAAGCTGGTATAAGGTATGCAGTACAGAGTACCCGGCAGTAGTCAAGGTCCCAGTGCCTGCAGCGCTCTTGGTCAGGGAGCACTTGGCCATTAACTGCTTTTGTCAACGATTACTGCGTATTCCGTACCTGGACACCCTGTCCTTTCGGCCTTGAATATTGCACGTTTTCACCAGACACGAATAATCCATTAGGTCGACCGTTCTTCTGCCATATCAATTCCTACCTAGTACGTGCGGGACAGGTATACTTGCATTTACTATTTTATAAAAGACGGCTGCTTGCCATTAGAATTCTACATGTGGAATCGGCAACGAAAAAAATACAACAGAGAAGAGGCTGGTAATATATCAATATATTTACCTCGTAGTCCTGCACATCATTGAGGAAGCCAGCGCCAAGTATTTCCCATTACATGTTACGAATGGCGAGGGTCCAATTCATTGATGCCTCGCTGGCCTTTTCAACACTTGACAACTTACGCCCAGCAATTCACGTCGACGTTCCTGGTTCCCGGTTGGCACGCAGCACGGCGCCTTTGCGCCTGGGCGGAATACGTACCATCGAGTGTGGAGAGTGGAGAAACAAGAACAAGGGCCCAGGCTACCGGTTCACGTGTGCGGTCACATGCGCTCCGATCCGGCCCCACCCACGACACCTCGTGTAAGTCAAGTGGCCCAACGTCCATGAGAGGAGGCAACCCGAGGGCAGTGGCAGGACGTAGAGTGAGCGCAACAGCCCAGCATTGATTGTGGGCATGTGTAGGTGAGAATGTAAATTGGCATTATACGGCGCTACATGTTCCCAGTTTACGCGTGCGTGTTTGAGAAGGCATTGTCGACACGGCACGGCTTTATATCGGCTGGGAACGTCTTGAGAAGCATCGATTTGGCATGCGCTGGGATTCAGAAACTGGAGGATGCCACTCTACGACGCAGGGAATCCGCATGGAATATACACCGGAGTGCTCTCTAACGGCTTCAATCATGTTTTTCTAGGGTTTGAAACACGGTGGTCCCGTTCGGTGCCAGTACGGCATGCCGTCGACCTCTATGTCGAGTGAAGGATCCGGTCCAACGAAAGGTGCTCGTACACACGTTTGCCAGCAAGGGGAGATTTCTCAGGAATAACAAACAGGAATGGGCCAAATAATAATATTTATATATTTCCAGCGTATCGAGAGACAAATTACAACTCAGAGGCCGTACTTGCATCTGAGCTTCGCAACACAAACCCATCTCGCAAATGATTCCACGGTCTGTCGGTCGCACTGAGGCCATCGTGGCATCCGAGGCAATTACGCTGGACAGTCAATTACAGAACAAAGCAGTGTCAGAACATGGCAAAAAAATACATGAGCGGGTGGAATATCATTAGCTTGTTCTTTTCTCTTCTTGAGCAGACAATTTTTCCCCATATTGCTGTCTCTTTGCATTGCCTGGCCAAATGTAGGTGGCGGTCGCAACGGAAATCCTGACCGCCAGACGCGACGAGCGCGTGTACACGAGAGCCTAGCCACCACAACAGTGGAAACAAAATGACGCACATTAATTCAAACGTTGGCTATTGAGCGACAAAAATGGCCTCTGGTTGAAGCCGAATTTACGAAAGTGCGGGCAGTTGCAAGCAGTGCGACTTGCGCCGGGATACAAAGTCGACGGAAACTTGTGGCGTCTCGGTCGCATCGCAGGACCGAGTGCTCTGGCTGCAAACCAACCACTGGCCCGAAAAAAATAAAATTGCCAAAATATGTGAGCACGCCAATTAAAATCACGTCCGAGACGTCAGACGCTGCATTTCTCACATTTGCAATCTACGTTGTGGGAAACTTGTTGGCGAGTACGAAAAGTGTAGATGGCTTCAGGTCGACCTCTCGAGGGGCAGGGCGGTCGGCCGCTCATCCACGCCGGGACTCATACAAAAAAGCGACTTGCGATATATTGCACAAATTGGCGGTCTGGACGCACGGGACTGGGCGACAAAATAGCATCACCTGATAGCGGCAGACAATCTACACTAAACGCCGGCAATTAATCACCACAAGACGGGCGGAGTCGATGGCAATCCAGAATGCGACAATGGGCTCAACACGTCTCGAGTGTCAAAGACGAGGCGTGGGATTCATGCCCGGGCAAGTCCCGGACCACACACGTCAGCAATGGAAACATGGCGCAACATTTTATTGAGACCAGGCAGGCAAAAAATGACTCATGGAAATTGTAATGGAGGGCGAAGAATGCAGCGGTCTGAAGGGGGGGAGAAGAGAAAGAAGGAGGAAAATGGAAAGATTCGAGGCGAGAGGGTGGTGGGCGGTCGGTCCTCAACCCATCTCAGATCAGAGGTTTGCGTACGCTGGTGAAGAGGTGATGTTGATCGCTGGCCAATCAGAAAATTGGTCACGGGGCAGGTATTGTTTTGAAAGAAATGGCGCCGATTTTTACTTTGGGCCATAACATCCCTCCGAGTTGACAGACCCATGCCGCCTCCTGCCCCAGCAGAGGGGCAGAGGGTGTGACCCGCGCAGGTACTTGGCATTGTATAGGGGCGGTACATGCGTGTGGCTGAGGGGAGTCGGGCATCCTGACGGTCCAGTCGCGGAGAAACGTTTCTGCTTTACCCGAGTCCTGCAGTGTAAAACGGGATGCCCAGGTGTGCAAAGGAAGCAAAGTGAACGGATGCAATGGGTGTTTGGGGGAAATGCAACTCGGGGCGAGCAAGCGCGCATTTGTCATATTTCAGAGACAGACAGACTGCTATGGCGGAAACTTGGCTACCCGAAGCACTCGATGCTACCGAGTAGTCCAGCCCAAACTGGCGACAGCCACCGCCAGATCGGGGGGCCGGGGAGGCATGTACCCTCACTTGTACCCCGGCATGTATCGACATTGTTGCGTGCAGCCGTCTGATGTGGCGCAACCTCGCGCGTCAAGGCCATGCTCCCCGGCCGGGAACGGTAGCTTGCCTGCTTGTCCAGCGGTGGCAGTCGGGCCTGGAAGGCAGATTGCTGGATGCAACAGGGCCAAACTGCATACAATAATAGTGCCGGCTGTCTGCTTCAGCCAGTAACGGAGGGGCCACACCATTGCACCCGTTCTCGGGGCTCTGGAAGCTGGTGTGTGTAAAAGAAGAGACAAGCTCGAGCTCGGGGGGTGGGCGATGGCCCAGTCCCCGTTTTCTCAACCAGACCTGGACAGCCAGACGCACTCGCACCAGACTCGATCGCGCTCCCTACTCCGTACTAGTCCATCCTTATATTTCCAGCGCCTATGTCTCCGTGCAAGGTACCGAGCATGAGCTGCGTAGTAAGCATGTAGCGTGCCCGTTGGCTTGGCTGCTGGCCGCACGCCCCCCGGTGAGCAGAGAAGCGCTGCGCTGCCCACGCCGCACCCACGCCGCACCTTGGACCTCCTGCGCGCGACAGAGGAAAGAGCTACTGATTGCGCTCCTCCCCCCGCCCGATATATAAACAAGGCCCATCCCCTCCACGCGCCCGACGGCATCGGTCTTGTTTGTCTCTGCTCCCATTTGACTCCCAAAGATTATTCTCATCTTGGTGTAGACACAATCGTGACTTGTTTCCAGTAACAAGCTCCGCGCTTTCGCATCATCACTTACACGTTTACCTCACACTTTCCATCTCATTCATCACGATGCCTCCCAAGAAGGCTGAAGGCTCTGCCGCCCCCAAGGCCAAGTCCACTCATGCCACCTACCAGGTTCGTCGCCGTCTGTCAGTTTTCTGGTATTTGGGAATCACCCGTGCTAATTCACACCAGGACATGATTACTGATGCCATCGTAAATGTATGTATTGCCGGCCATGTACCCTTGGGTGCATCTTGTTTAAGGAGTGGCGTCTTGATTACGCGGATGACGGGATAGATGGCCTGGGATTGATGGGTTTCACTGTCACGCCTCTTAGTCACGACTTGTTCTTGCCACAGTCCAATGGATGCTGGCGTTTTTTCTGATTGGGTCGCCTTGCTAACTTGCTCGCTACAGCTCAAGGATCGCAATGGCTCCAGCCGTCAGCAGCTCAAGAAGTATGTCAAGGCCAACAACAACCTGGTCAATGTTTCCGACAACATGTTCGACTCTCTCTTCAACAAGGCCTTGAAGGCAGGTGTTGACAAGGGCGCCTTTGCCCAGCCCAAGGGCCCCTCTGGTGGCACCAAGCTGGCCAAGAAGAAGGCTGAGCCTAAGAAGCCAGCTGCGAAGAAGGAGGGCGCTGTCAAGGCCACCACTACCAAGAAGGCCGCTCCCAAGAAAGCCGCTGCTGCCCCCAAGGCCGCTGGCGAGAAGAAGGCCACTGCTACTACTGCTGCTGCTGCCACCACCAAGAAGGCCGCTCCCAAGAAGGCCGCCACTGCCAAGAAGCCTGCTGCTAAGGTATATTCTGTTTGCACCAAATCGATGTCTCCTGGGTATTCGTCTCTAACCTGATTTCCAGAGCGACAAGGACGCTGCCTTGACCAAGACCAAGACTGGCCGTGTCGCCAAGACAACAAAGCCTGCTGCTAAGAAGGCTGCCGCACCAAAGAAGGCTGCTCCTAAGAAGGCCGCCGCCAAGGCATAGGCTAGTCGTTCTCTTTTTGGCCATGTGCACTTTCTTGTTTAATGAATGAACTAAGGCGTTATGGGCTTCGATTTCTGTGTGTTTTCTTGTTCTACGGCACGGCTTGGGAGAGGCAGGTTCACCGGGATATTGCTGTTTTGGGCGGAAGCGAAAGGGATATGTGGCTTGTTTTGATACGCCCACACGCGGCGCAGGACATGAAGGCAA